ATAATTTTTTGTGGTGGGTTTGGTGATGAGTGAAAGATTAGTGGTAGTATGACTTTTAATTTCGATAATGACAATGAAACTCATGGTTTTGATGTGGATGGTGAATTTATGATTATGATTGTGATGAATTTCAATAATAGTGATATGGTTCTGATGGTTAATTAATAAATTTATGATGTTTGTTATCGATTTTTTATGATGACAATGATTGTGAGAAGATTCCGGTGGTGAATTTGATTATGGATGATAATTTAATGGTGGATTTGATGGTGTATAGAAAGAAGAAATTGGATGATATGGATTTTTTTTTGAAAAAAATATGATGTAATTATTGATGTGGTTCGTATATGCATCAATATTGAAATAAATTCACTTTTAAGTAATTTAGGTGTGTAATGAATTATCACAATAGTATAAACGTGGAACTTACTTTTCATTATAAGTTACAAAAAAAATTATATCTTTTATCTACACTTTTTTACTATTTAGAAGTGAATTTAAATTAGAGCCATACAACATCAAACCAAGTCAGCACAGTATATTTCAAATAGCAATAAAGTACCCTTGAATGAGGAGTGTCAAGAGACACCCTCCACTAGAAAGTTAATTATCTTACTAAAAAGTTTCATTTTATTAAATTAAGAAAAAATATTAATTAAATATTTTTTGTTTTATCCTTACATTTATTTATAAAGTGACTTAAAAACATTAAATAAAAATTGTTGAAATATTAACTTAAATTCTTTTGAATAGCAAGTACTACTCCATGTGACAATGGAGTTTAATAACTGCCCTTTTATCCCCTGTCCCTGTCACTAGTAGATTTCCCATGATGAAGCCCATGACTAAATATAAGAGGATTGCCTTGGGTAAAGAGCCAAATATCTCCATTTTTTTTTGAATTAAAAGAGTGTTTCTGAATTATTTTTAAAAAAAGAATTTCGCCGTTTAAGAAGAATAATTTAGTCTGACTTAATAAGTAATCAAAGATAGTAAAAAAGTTTTTTTTTATCTTTGTATCATAAAATAAAGTTGTATCAAATGTTTTAGAATATACTTTAATTTCGTCACCTTAAATATGTCGCATGAAAAATTGAAATTAGTGTATTGTGAAAAAAAATGAGTCATTTTTTAAAAAATAGACTCAGGGCCCGTTTAAATTGACTTTGAAAAAGTAGCTTTTAAATCAAAAAGAAAAATTCAAACTGAAATGACTTTTAAATCAAAAGAATAAAAGGTAGGGGAAACTTACTTTTGGTTATTGACTTATTTTAAGTCATTCTTGACCTTGCCAAATATTTGTTAATTTATTTTAAATCATTTTTTTACTTATTTTAAGTTATTTTTATATTTGCAAACACTTACATAAATCGAAAACCGACGTAAAAGTAAATTTTATCAACTTTTAAACCAATTCAAACACCCTCTAAAAGAAAAGCAGGTCAATATTTTTGAAATGAAAAGAGTTATATACATTTTCAATTCAATAAATCATATTTAAAAATTAAAGTATGTTTTGCCATGAATATAAACTAAGTTGTTTTCGGAAATTCAAATTCTAAAATTTTATGGCCAAATATGTTTTCGTGAAGTTCAACTCTAGAAAAAAAAATGATAAATTTTCCTAAGCAAACGGACCCTAAATAACATTATGACATAGAAATATGTTTGTTATTTTAACTTTATTTATCTGATTTTAATTTAACAAAAGATTTTTATTTTTTAAAAAAATCGAAAAATTGAGCATTACAATATATTTTATTGTAGAAATATCAAAAGGAAATCTAAACATTGAAGCCTGATTGGTGGCTTACAATTGACACAACTCATAAATATTTATCTTATCCAAAATGATACTCTATTTTGTTTTTGTCTAAATATCATGTAACACCCCATAATATCTCAACTATAAATATAATTGTCCCAAATTCTTACTACACACACTATCAGTCCAAAAATCATTTTTTAAAATCTCCATCTTACAATTTTTTCAAAACAAAAATCATTTTCCTAATATAATCATGGCTCTTCAAGCTGCTGCATTGCTTCCTTCTACTTTCTCTATTCCAAAGGAGGTTTGTCTTTCATTATATTATCTTCGATTTAATTTACGTGACACTTTTCGTTTCCTAAAATTTGAATATCTACGTCTCCATCTATGTTGGTGTAACTATAAATCATTTCAGTAAAAATAAAATAAACATTTTACAGTTAAATTGCTACTAAATATAAAAAATATGTCATTATTTTAACTGATTAAAAATGAAAGCCTGACGATCGCGTAAATTAGAATAGGGAAAGTATGTATAAATTTTGACCAATGATATTAAGTTGATCTAGTTCAATTTAATTTCGAGATAAATTGACTCTAAAAAAGCCAAAGAAATACTTTTTTTACTCATTTATGTGATGTTGCAGGGGAAAACTAGTGCATCTTTGAAGGATTCGAGTCTCTTTGGAATTTCTCTCTCTGACCATGTTAAATCTGATTTTGGCTCTTCATTCAAAATCAAGGTATAATTTTAGCTTTCAGGTGGTTTAATTCGATGCAACGCAAAAATAAAAATTGTCATTAAACTTTACCTACTGTGTAACACTAAAGTCACAAAACACTGTTTTCTGTCACATTATAAAGTAAATTAACTTTACAAGGTATACTATTACATTTAGTGATGATATAGGTGAAATTAACCTACTGTAATTTCGTTACAGATTGGAGGAAAGTAATCCCCCGTTGCTATTAGAGCCGAGACAATTGTCACAACACACATTTTTTTGTCATATTATAAAGTAACTAAACTTAACGAGCAATTCTAGTACACATACGTGAAATTAACCTGTTAGAATTTCATTACAGAAACAAGTCATCCCTCAGAGCTATTAGAGCCAAGACGATGTCACAACTCACAACACACATTCCTTTTGTCACATTATGAAGCAACTGAACTTTCCAAACTATACTAGTGCATTCAGTGACCATACGTGAAATTAACCTGTTGTAATTTCGTTACAGAGCGGAAGAAAGTCATCCCTCGGAGCTATTAGAGCCGAGACAATGGTTGCATCTCCCGGTGTAACGAGTACCCCTGTGACAGGAAAGAAAACCTTAAGAAAAGGTTGTGTAGTAATCACTGGAGCGTCTTCAGGACTAGGACTAGCTACAGCAAAAGCTCTGGCTGAGACAGGGAAATGGCATGTAATTATGGCATGTAGAGACTTTCTTAAAGCTGAAAGAGCAGCAAAATCAGCAGGGATGCCTAAGGAGAATTATACAATAATGCATTTAGACCTTGCATCGCTTGACAGCGTCAGACAATTTGTCGATAACTTTAGGAGATCAGGCAATCCTCTTGATGTATTGGTTTGCAATGCAGCTGTTTATCAGCCTACCGCGAAAGAGCCTTCGTTTACAGCTGAAGGATTTGAGCTTAGTGTTGGGACTAACCATCTTGGTCATTTCCTTCTTTCGAGATTGTTGATTGATGATTTGAAGCAGTCTGATTACCCTTCAAAGAGACTCATCATTGTTGGTTCGATTACAGGTAACAGTCAGACCTCTTTATAACAACATCGTTTGTCTAGATAGTTTTGATACTCATTTTAGTGGGAGACTAATCGTTGTTACTGAAAATCAAATATCAGGAAACACAAACACATTGGCTGGAAATGTACCTCCAAAGGCCAACCTCGGGGACTTGAGGGGTTTAGCAAGGGGGCTCGATGGACTTAACAGCTCAGCCATGATTGACGGTGGTGACTTTGATGGTGCCAAAGCTTACAAAGACAGCAAGGTTTGCAATATGCTCACTATGCAGGAATTCCATAGACGATACCACGAAGAGACTGGCATCACATTTGCCTCCCTATACCCTGGCTGCATCGCGACAACAGGGCTATTCAGGGAGCATATCCCCTTGTTTAGGCTCCTTTTCCCTCCATTCCAGAAGTTTATCACCAAAGGATTCGTCTCCGAGGCAGAATCTGGAAAGAGACTTGCACAGGTAATATTTATTAGTGTCAGTTTCACGTATAACCACTGAACTTTATCCACTATAACAGTAACCGTAAAGATAAGATACCTGGCCTAACTCAATCTCAAAAGTTAGCTCGTGAGGAGAGGATTGCTCGAGTCTATATTAGGAGAGCACCAATCCATTCATCAACCAATGTGAGACTTTTATTCACTCTAACACTCCCCTTCACGCCCATGCCCAACTGAAGCGTAGACTGGGAGCCCAAAGAGGGATACCATGTAAAGATGATTTTAGGCCTAACCAAGAAACTAATTTTTGTCACACTAAAGTTACTAAACATAAGATGTTGTTTGTTTGTTATTTACAGGTTGTTAGTGATCCAAGTCTTACAAAATCAGGTGTGTACTGGAGCTGGAACAAGAACTCTTCCTCCTTTGAGAACCAGTTGTCAGAAGAAGCTAGTGACGTTGAGAAAGCGCGTAAAGTGTGGGAAGTCAGTGAGAAACTCGTGGGATTGGCTTAGATTTTTTGCTGATTGAGTTCAACCATCACCAAGACGAACACGAAAAAGGAGTTGATGAAGGAGAATTTGAATCGAGTCTGTTTTGTTGTAGTTAAAAAGTTGTCACTTCGTAAAATTTTTGAGTTAGGAATAAATATCATTCATCCTTTTAGAATCGAGCGCTTACCAACACGCCAACAATTATAGCGCTCACAACTTTAAGTCCACCCAACAAGCGTCATGTTCGATCAATGACTCACTCAACAATTTCCAGTATGAATGATCATGTGAATTATGATTCCGTATTCACTACATAAAAACAAAAATTAGCAACAAACAACTTCTGTTGAGTTCTATATAAGAGCTACACTTGGAGTCGAGCTAATTGCATAGGCAGAGGGGAAATTTCCCTGGAAAACCTAATAACAATCAACTGCATAATAAATTTTATGCAGTAGGGGTACTTGTAATATCTCCACTATGCCAAAACCAAGTTAATTTTAAGACGGGAAAAAGCTCGAATATGTCATCGAATAAGCTGAATCATTTCTAATGTTTCATTTATTTTTCAAGCGTTATACACAGGTGCAAAGCACGTACAGGAAAGAAACCAAACCTAAAACAAACTCGAAAATCTAACCAAAACAGAACAAACACTAAAGGAAGTTTGAAAATTGCAGAGAATCGACTTAGTAAGAAGTGTTCCAGTCAGACCAGTTAGCTTCACTGCCAACTCTAGGGATGCTATTAACTCTTGAATACATATCCACTTTGAAGTTGGCTCCACACATTACCCCTTCACTATCTACTCTTGGCATAGCCCTCATCTTGTTCATCGGGTGCTCGAAATTCATTAGTCCTTTCTCACTATGGAACATACAACCTGTACATTTCAATTGGAACGTTAAGTAGACGAGGGGGCTGATGTAGCCAAGTCAGTGAATCAAATTTTGTAAAATCGAAGAACTAAATTCAACTTCCTCTCCTATTTACTACGAAACGAAGAAACCAAAATATTCCTCCATCTATAAAATATGAAATTCCTTATAGATGTTACCTGTGGGAAAGGGTGCAAATGACTTAGCACATCCAGCTTTAATAACCTCTACATCATCAGAAATCACCACAGATCCATCAGCAGCAATACCCCAAAATAACTTCACCCCACCATCTGAACCCTGCACTTGTATGACGACAACAGATTAAACCACATTTTGATACATCCAAAATATCTTTAGTTTAAACACAACAAGATTCAAAACTCCGTCTTTTACTTTCTTAAACTTCATATCAAGTCAAAATCAAACAAACATATTGAAACTGAGCTGAGTAAATGAACAAACAAGTAATACTCCCTCTCTCCCCTCTATCCCAGTTTATATGACTCAGTGTCTTTTATAGTCACTGTTGAAAAAATGACATATTTCTATATAGACTATTTTATCCTTAATGAAATAATTTATAGGCACACAAACAAATATTGTATCAACTTATTCTAAACTATATTAAACTTCGTGTCAATAGTCAAACTGACTCGTATAAAATAGGACGGAGGGAGTAATACAGATACTTACCAAAGCAACAAATACAGTTCCAGTTTTACTATCATAGATAACAAAAGCAAAACTTCCTTCAAAATCCTTAATAACTTGATCAGCTGGATAAGGTCCCCTGTCTCTAAGTGTCCTGTAGGCTTCAATGACTAGCATGGCTTCATTTGTACCTTTTGGTGATAGCCCATATTGTTTGATTTGTGCACACAAATTGTTCAAACTCCCCATGAACAAACAGTAAATATCATCATAACCACAAAAATACCTACAACAATAATTATAATCGCGCTTCAATTCCATGAAATTCAATACAAAAAAGCATTCTTTCAGCTAAACAACAAAATTCATAGACAGCTAGCTACGAGCTACTCCTTCTGTTCCTGTTTAGTTGTCTCGTTATGCTATTGTTTTACACAATTCTTAAGAAGTTATGGGGTGTAATTTGACTGATATATATATATATCTTATGAACTATTTTAGTCTTTATTTACTTCACTTCTCTAAATTCGAAAATAACTAATATTAAGGGCAAAATTTGGTCTCATTTTATGTGGAATACTTTTCATTCTTAGTCTCTTCCAAAAATAATATCACATTACTATGCACAATTTAACTTTCAAATATCATTTTTACTCCGAATGATGAAATGATTACCAACCACAAAAACATCTAAATATTATTTTAGAGCACAAACTTCGATAATCTTCCTTTTTTTCTCCTTAAATATCATTTCAGAGTCAAATAGTTTTACATTAAATTGAACAAAAATAGTACTTTTTTCTTGATTTATTAAATTAAAAAAATATTTTAAACTAATTATTTTTTACATACATTGACAACTAAATCAGACTAAACAAATTTTCATACTAATTCCTAGGGAGCGCGATCCACCTATACCCTAATACAAGAAAAATTTTATAATACAATTTTATGTTATTATCAAATCAAAATCAAACAGTATCATATAAAATAAACCGAAAAAGTAGTAAAATTAGTAGTAATTATTTTACCTTTGTTTGTGATTGAGCAAGGAGGTGCAATTAGGACGAACAAAAGCAAGAGCAGCAACATCTCCAAAAGTAACATAAGAGGTGTCAAATGGACGAGTCGATACGAATTTTTGTAGCGTTTGTTGTGGAAGTAAACATTTTTTTGATGCAGGACTATTTAATTCTTCAGGAGGATGAGCAAATGCCTTGTGAAATATAGCCAACATCGTTTGTTTTTTTTTTTGTTTTTTTTAGCTTCAAGATGAAATATCTAACAACATAAAAAAATGGTTACTGAAGGAGGATATATATACTAATAAACTTTTTACACTAATGTTTTTTTTTTATAGTAATTTAATAAAGTATGCTGGAGATGAAATATGTCAATGTTATCTTGTAGTGATAGAAGTGTTAAAGAGTGTGACGTGACAATGATGAGGATGGATAAGGTTTCTCGTACTTCTATATGTCTTTATCCATTTAGATTTTACTATAATTTTTATATCAAAAAAATATAGAAATCACATATTTTAAGATAAAATCATTATTTGTCATTTATAAATTTATAATAAAATCTCTCAAAAGTGATAATATTATATAAGCTTTGATAAATTAATATGATTGCGAGATATATTATATGTAATACACGATATACTAATATGATGTATATTTTATACACGATATAATAATCTGATGCTCAAGATATATTAATCTGATATGTGATATACATAAATTTAATGCGTGAGATACATTAATCTGATACGTGATATACATTAATTTGATGCGCTGATACATCAATCTGATACGTAAAAATAAAATTTTTTAAAGATTTATAAAAATAATAGGGAATAATAATAATAAGAGAAGATTTGTATCATTTTTTCAAAAATATATACTAAAAAATTATCAATTTAATCTAAAAATTACCTCTCTTTTTATCACAGTTTGATTCAAAAGTGTGAGTATCACTAATAGCTTATACAAAAATGCTCTGTTCTTATTATGCGCGTGCATATGAAATATATATGTATATATTTTTATATTAATTTTTCAAATTTTGTTTATATCGCATAAATTGAAAAAAGAGTAATAATATTTTCAATAATTTATATATCGGAAAAGAGTCTAAAATACCCTCAAAATATTAAAAATGATACAAAATTATCCTACATCCTCCTATTGGCTCGAAAATACCCTTCCTATCCACCTATTTGGTCCAAAATACCCTTGTCATCCACTTTTTGGTTCAAAATTGACCACTTATTTAACGGTTTTATATTTAAATTATTTAAATATTTTTTAAAATACGTGATGCTCAACTATTTATTATAATTTAACTTATTAGTATAATTTATAAATCAATCAATTACTCATCCATTACTAATTAAATTCCTCTTAATAAACCCGTCACGTTATCAATGCAAGCTACTGCCAATTGAGTGTTTTTAAAAATTATAGAAGTAAATTATCATACATTCAAGTGGCTAAATAAAATCACCGATAAACTTAAAAGTCTGACTATGTTCATCTTAATTATTCTTACGTCTCAATTATGTGATGTTACTTCATAGGTAACTTTTTTTCAAAATAATATATTAAAGTTTTAAAACAAATCATAAATATTTATAAAATTATATTTTTAAAAAGTACATGAATTAATTCGGGATGTATTACTTCTTTATCTTTAATCATAAATTTATAATTCAATCTTGAAAGAGAATCCTATTGAAAGTCTCATCCTAAATAAGCGGCTCAACTTAAATTTAATTGGAGCTTAAATTCGGACTCGAATATATTTTGGATGTCATTTTAAGGAATCTATAATTTCATCATGTTTTATTAGTGTTTATGACGATTTTGATATTAAAATTGGATTATTATTGAGTGAGGTTTAGTTAGTAATGAGTGGGTAGTGAGTTAGTTTATAAATTATATTAATAAATTAAAATTATAATCAATAGTTGAACGCCAAGTATTTTTAAAAATATTTAAAGAGTTTAATTTTAAAATAATTAAAAAAGTGGTCAATTTTGAACCCAAAGATGGATGACAAGAGTATTTTGAAGCCAATATGTGGATGAAAAAGCATTTTGGTGCCAATAGGTGGATGGAGAGTAATTTTGTACCATTTTCAATACTTTAAGGGTATTTTAGGCCTTTTTCCGTTTATATATTTTATAAAACAAATTAAAAAAGAAACTATATTTTTATATTTTTTTTAAAAAAAGATGATTAATATATTGTATAAAAATTTACATTTTTTTTGTAATGTACATGTCATATCTAGAGCTGTCAATGGGTTGACCCACCCCAACCCAATCTAACCCTAACGGGCTAGAGAGTTAAATGGGTTGGGACGGGCTGACCCTTTTAGTTAAAGGGTTAATAAAATAGCAATCTAATCCAGTCCTAAGCGGGGTACAGGTTAGAACGGGTTGACCCTTTAACAAAAAAATAAACAATATTATTCTCTTAGAAGGAGTCGCTATGAACTAGACATATGCAAATTTTTATTCATGAATAACACACTTCAGCGAATACTTATAGAAGTACATTTATGAATATCACACTTCGATGAACGCTTATCAAAATACATAATAGTCAACGTAAGATTTAGCAGAAAAATGTTGATCATTTAACCCTTCCTCCCACAAAAAACAAGCCAGTTTAAAAGACTTGATTTTTATGTTTTTAACATATTTATTGATTAAACATTTATAAATAAAACACTACTAATATATATGCATATATATAATATTTTTAAATATTCAATATCCATGGACTGGCCTTTGAGTTTAACAGATTGGATCTACGAGACTAGCAGACCAAGTGAGATTGGATTAAAAAGGCTTATTCCTAAATAGACTAAAAAAATTAAATATAACTATATTTAATTTAAAAATCAAATTAAACCGACCTCACGGGTTAAACCCGTTTTAACCGCTCTAGTCATATCCTTATCCATTTAGTTATTTTTCTACTTATTCCTCCAAATATTTTTTTCTGATTATATTTTTCTTTTTGTTAAGCTTTATGTCAGCCAGCCGAATTGTCTTTTCTATTAAAAGAAAAAAAATTGAGCTTTTTACCACTTGATGTGGGGCCAACAACCTTTAACAAATCTGTGGGCGATTTAAACAATTTATATGATGGTATTAGGATCGTGCAAAAATCAAATTCACTTAATAAAGAGAATTGAAAAAAAAAACACTCTATCCGTATATAAAAGAATAATTTAATTTGACCTGAATTATCAAAAAAATACAATGTATATGATGGTATTAGGATCGTGCAAAAATCAAATTCAATTAATAAAGAGAATTGAAAAAAAAAATACTCTATCTATTTATAAAAGAATAATTTAATTTGACTTGAGTTGTAAAAAAATACAATTTGTAATTTAGTGGTTCTAAATTAAAGTTATGTCATATATACAAAAATATTTTTTAATCTTGTAGTATTAAACATGTCGCCTGAAAAGTTAAAGTTACGTAGCCAAAAAAATAAAGAAATCATTCTTTTTGAAACGATAAAAAATAAAATAAAATCATTCTTTTTTAAATGAAGAAAATATTTTTTATCAAAATTAAATTATTGAATTTACAAAAAAGAGTTAAAATTATTCATAAATTATATATAATAGATTACTTATATTTTTTACTATATATTAAAATAAAAATTATGTATAATAGGTTATTTATATTTTTTTATCATATATTAAAATAAAAAGTTATTTTCGCCGTTAGTGATGTGGCAAAACCACGTGGACTAATTCTTCAACCTAGGTATCTTGAACTAAATTTTTTTACTTATAATTATAATATCTCATTATTTTCAAAAAGCATATTACTCATTTTCTATCTAATTCATGCAATATTTTAAAATTGTTCTCTTAAGGTTTAATTGAATCCATTCTATTTAACGTAAGATGCCGTGTTATAATTCTGTTAACCATGTATTTAATTTAAATAAAAATTAATTTATGCTATTGTCATAATTGAAGGACATTTTTAGTTTTGAAAATTATCTTATGATCATTTAATTAATTAATATTTGAAAATAGGATATCTTTTGAGCCATTTACTATATGTTGAGGATGTTATTAATCCTTTCTATTAAAAATTTGATCCATAAATATTTTAAATGCATTTGCAAGAGGGGTTATAATTATATACATTAATAAGGGAAAAATGAAAGGTGTTATGAAACTATATGAAATTAGAAGAAGAAGAAGAAAGTAGAAAGAAGAGAAAAAATTTCTTATTTCTCTTGAAGTATATTTAGAATTCATAGATCTTTCACTAATCTTATTTACAATGAAGAAAACCCTTTATTTATAGGAAAAATCTTATTTTAGAAGGCTTACACCTCATTCCCTTTAGAGAATGGATCCATATTTTAGCATTTATCAGAAATTCTCATTCTTCATGAATGGAACACAAACATGTGAGATTATCAAATTATGATAACTTTAGTACATCACTCCATATTTATGTGCATTATTCAACCACTTGTCTTCTTTCAGGCATATTACGCACTACAACCACATTCACTTTATGTAATAGAGCAAATTCAATAGATTTCATGACTTCTCATCAAAAACACATTAGTTTTTCCCTTTAGTCATTATTATATCATCAATATGGTACATTGAGACTCACATTCAATGTCTTATCCCATATAAAAGTGTCTTAGGTCATAAATCGATGGATCTTGAACCCAATATCTTATCATCATGGTGCATCAGGACTTTAACCCAATGTTTTACCCTCTTTTTGTGATTGGACATAAATCCATCGTCTTATTCTTTTGGTGCGATAAAACTTAAATCTATCGTCTTACTCATAATGAGGCTCAACCTCAAGCCTTCAAAATAATTGTAATTTTATTACTTTTGATGATAATTAATATGATCGTACATTATAACTACACACAAAATTGAGATTTTTAATTTATTATAATCAACATTAGTAGTTAATAAATATAGCTTAATAGATCACATTCCTCATATAAAAATTGAAAACATATCTTTCACTAAATTGTGCTTATTTAATTATTAAAATAAATTAAGAAATTCTTTTTTCTGTCGGTTAAAATTAAACGTATAGAAAGTCGACAAGTCTCTTTAAATACTTACTTTATATGGTACCTCCAGATCTGTTACATAAATAATTATAAAATAAAAATAAATCATACCTTGAAGATATAAGAATCTTATTGCATAAGGTATGCAAGATATTTTTACACTTTTCCCGTCTTCTTCATAATTCTTTAAGAATAGAACAATCGTGCCGATAACATG